TCGCACACAGGGTATGCCTCCAATGATCAAATGGAGAGGATTGGGTGAAGTGAGATTTCAAGGAGCAAGTCGCACGCTGTAGAGAAAGAGCAGAATGTGAAGTGGAGAGACCAGCGTTGTTTTTCCTGCAGCTCTACTTAAAAACTGTGAGGCTTTCCCTGCTATGGTTGAGATTTTCTCATCTGTAAATTGGAGTTCCTGAGTTAAAACTCACCTGAAAGGGTTCTCATGAGCAGCAGGTGATTCAGCCGGGGCTCAGGGCCCCTGGCACCCAGGAGATTCTCAGTAAAGGTTAGTTCTCCTCCACTTTCCCTTCCACAGGGTGGGTGAGCCCAAAAGGTGTTCCAGGCACTTGGAAAATGTTTGGGAGGACCAGGGCCAGGGCAGACCCTCGGAGGTCTGAACCTTGAGGGGAGAGGCCCTCAGGTGCCCATCTCAGGGAGCTTGGGGCTTGGAAGCCCTAGATGAGAAAGGAGGCCAGCTCTGCCCTGCCCTCCCTCCTCCCAGGGACAGCTCCCGATGGGTGGTGACATGGCTTTGTGTGTTTAGGGGGGCTTATGGGAAATGAGGTGTCAGCGTGCGGTTGGCTGACGGCTGAGGAGCACGGGAGGGAAACTGAGGGAGGAAAGATCAGCTTGGGCAGGCTCCCCCCCCCAGCTCCCATCACTAGTTCTGGGGGGAAGGAAATGAGACATGACAGGTCCCTGGCCACCTGGGATGGGCTGAGAAGGGACATAGGGTGGGCATGGGAGAGGAAGTGTGTGTGTGTCACCTGTTAAGCCCGATTCACCCCTGGCCCCCAACCGCAGACGCTGGCGGGCCCAGATCGGTCCTGGCGTCTCAACTAGCAGAGTGACAGTGACAAGTTCTTTGATTAGAAAAGCCTCCGAGGATGATCCCCCCACAGAGCCCTCCTTTCCCTCTTCCTCTCCTTTCATTTTTCCTTTCCTTCCTTCCCTTTCTCTTCCTCTTTTTCCTGTCTCAGTTTCTATTTCCTTACCTCTCTTTCCTTTTTTTATTTTTAAGGAAATAATGTCTCGGAGGCAGAGTCAAAGAGCCCCTCCGTCAGGCCTGGCTAGCTCAGAACGCGGCTCTGTAAGAATCAGGAGAAGGTGACCCCTCTGGGAAGCCCCAGCCCCGAGCCTGGTGGGGACCATCCGTGGTGGTGCAGGGGGCTTCCCGTGAACGAGGCATCCTTCCGCCTGGTGGCGTGGCTAGTGTGGGGAAGGCTGGACTTCGGCCCTCACTTGCCCCCTTGGGCAGTGAGCGACCTCCACCCCTGGCCCACCGCCCCCTCCCACTGGGGGCTCCCACTGTCCTGATGCAGTCGTGCATCCTTTACATCCATGGTTTTGTGTTTGCTCCCCTTTATAGTCCTTCTTCACTTCCTTTCTCTTCTTTCTCCCCCTTCTCTTGTCCAAGCTCATCTCTTCCCGGAACGAGCCTTCCACCTGTCTCTTGTGTGTCTGCGCATCTTTGTGTAGCGAGTACAGTATGTGTGTACGTTATGTCTCCTCTTGGGATGAGTGTCTTCGCGTCTTTCTCTGAGGGCTTGGCGTGTAGGAGGTGCTCAAGATGGTGTGCCTGCTCTGTGGGTGTCCATGTGTGTCTCTGTGTATCTCAGCTCTATGGACCCTCGACCGTTCCCTCACCGGGGCTTAGAAGGGAGAGGGAATTGGAAGGGGACCCCATGAGGTTGAGGCCCTGTGCCCTCCAGTCCCCTCTCAGTCCCTTCCTAGCCCGTTGGCTCTTCCTCCATGATATTCAGTCTTCCAGAGCCCGCGAGAAGGGCAAACTGAGGGCCTGCCTTGCGCTGCCTGCATAGGCCTCCAGGTGGGTCTCCCTCCCCTTCCCTCCCCGGGGCTCCTAAGGCCTCCAAGACCAGAGATGCTCGGCAGGGCCGGGGGAGGGGGCAGAGAGGAGGAGGTGAGGGAGCCTGCGGCAGGGGCTGGTGGCCCCTGGGACCCCTTTCCACAAGGACAGAGGCGGCACCAGCTGCTCCACAGAAGAAATATTCCCCGAAGTCAGAGTGGTCGTCTCGTATTTTAAGTGGTTCTTATTTATCACCGTCCTCCTGGGCTCCCTTTCGTGGCAAATGATGATAAAAGACAGCAGTGAGGGGGGCGCGGGGGGCTGTTCCTGGCTGGCCCTGCAGCTGTCGGAGGTGGCAGTGCCCGGGGAGGTGCAGAAAACAGCAACACATGGGCACAGAGACACCCCCCCCAATACTTGTGCACGGTGGTGTGCACACACAGACGTACAGTACCACACATGCTAACGGCGCATCCCCCCACACACAGATTCAGCTACGACCATGACATGCCCACACATGCTGCACGCACACACGTACGCCCAGTGACACACAGAGCTGTGAACATCCATGGTCTGACACACGCCCAGGCACACGCCTGTGCCAACACACAGGTCCGGCGATCAACACGCCAGCACGTACTCATGCGCCGCACACGTGCACACTGCCTGAAACAAGCATGCGTCCACATGCCCGTCCTGGGCACTCCTCACGCCCACCTTGCAGATGCAGTCCGGACCTGCAGTGGGTCTCTGTGCGTGTGTCTGCCTTATGTGGCCTCTGTGTGCACACCTGCAGAGTAGGCCACTTCCGCTACGTGGCAGACAGGTGTACGCACATGTATTCACACATGTGGACGTGCAAATGCACTCATAGTCCAGTTGAAAAAAAAAATGAACACCTCACCTCACACGTGCACAGAAGGTAACTCAAAATGGAGCATAGACCTAAGTGTAAGGCGGAAAAACAGTAAAGCTTCTGGAAGGAAACACGGACGAAGGCCTCTGCGAGGCTGGGGCAGGCTGAGCTTTCGTGGGTAGAACACAGTGATAGCTGGAATGGTATAGTTTTAAGCACAGGCTTTGAAATCAGGAAACCTCTCGAGTCCTGTTTTATTACGTAACAGGCTGCATCAACCCTGGCTAAGTTGCTTGCTGTGAGTCAGATGCCCTGTACACTGAAGGTATTAATATTACCTACCTCTCTGGATGCCTGCAAAGCCCGGAGAACTAATAATACAAGTGAAAATTAAAAGCTGTGACCTGCCATACAAAAGAAATAAATAGAAAAATAGAGATAGAAAAATAGAAAATAATCAAATAAATAGAAATAGAAAAAATAGAAAATAGAATAGCTAAATAGAAAAAAATCAGTTTTGTGTATTGTAATTATTCACACACGTCTACCTAGGCACAGGTCCTAACCGGCAGTCCGTGACCCGTACACCTTCTAGCCAAGGTCGGGGGGGGGCATGTGGACCTTCCCCCTACCCAGGGAAGCCCCCTCCCGGGCCCACACCCTTCTCCATATTAGCCGCCCAGTTGCCAATCAACCTCCCTCCCTAGCCTCAGCCCATTAGTACAGCTCCCTGGGGGAATCTATTTTTTAAAGGTTATTAGCAGATTATTGGTTCTTTATCAACCTCGGGGCCCCAATCTCCAATCTCCCAATGAAGCCATTGTCGCCTAATAGGATGCACTTGATGATCTTGGCATGAAGGTAGTAGAGGGCCCGGTGGGGGTGGGACAGCCAGAAGGAGGAAGGGTTAACAGCACTGCCCCAGCCCCCACCCCCTTGGTCCTCAAATAGCTGAACTACTGTATGTTGTAGTTTTCAACTGCAAATCATCTTTAATAGCAGACATCACGGGATGGCTCATTACATTAAGCTATTTTTCATGCTATCTGCTGTAATATCCTCTAATCCAATGCGTTTCAAATCACCTCGGGCTAAAATAAGAGACATAGCGATGTAATAGCCTAGTGTATTAGTGGGTTAATTGCCCTGTTGTACTTTCTAGTAGCTATCTCTGGAATGACTTCTATATTAATTGTAAATTGCTTAATACATTTAACTCCTTGCCATCGCCCCGTCCCCTAAAGAAGGAGGCCACTACCCAGTTGCTTGATGGGAGGGCATGTGTGTTTTGTGGGTGCTCCTTTCCAACCCTGGCCCACCTCTGTCTTCTCAGCCTGAGCTGACAGAGCAGGCTTGGAACATACTTCCCAGACTGATGAGGGGAAGGCAATGACACGGCAGTTACTGAACACCTGCTATATGCCAGGCCCTGGGCTAGGCCCTTTCACCAAATGCTGTCTCCTTGGAGCCTCGTAAGACCCTGAGCAGTGGCAGTATTCTCTCCAGAGGTCATGTGACTTGCTCAAGGTCACAGAGCTAAGACCTGATGAAGCTGGATCTGTGGCCAGACTTGAGGGCTCCTAGAACCACAGTGCCCGGGAGTGGGACAGGACCCTAGTAGGGCCTTGAACACTATGTCAGCTGTGTCAGTGGGGTCCTGGGGAGGACCCTGTGGTCTGGAGGGGAGACACACAGCCCTTGACCTGAGGGGGTCCTTCATCTGTTGGGTGAGACAAAAGCCTCTATTCTGGGGAGCTCTGGTCTGAGGGGGAACAAGATCCCCTGACAAGGGAAAGTTCCCAGGCACATGGGGGACACAGCCCCTTTTCTGGGGATCCCCCTATCTGATGGGAGGGATACCACCTCTGTCCTGGGGGCTCTTCAGTCTGATGAGGAAAGCAATTTCTGTCCCCCAGGGAACCCTCAGTCAGATGGGGGGCATGTGGGTACCAATCCCACTCATCCACATAGCAGAAGCAGAGATAAGGTACAAATGAATAGATTTGAGGCCACTGCCAATAGTGGATGAAGGAGGATGAAGGCAGAACTCCGTCCCTTGGCATGCCTGGTGCTTCAGACCCAGACTGGGCAGGGGGCCTCTCCGTGGGCGGGTGGGGGCTGGGGAGGGGGTTGGGGGGCTGGGGGTGCGGGGGTGGGGATGTGTGTGTCTCAGCTCAGTGCCTTCCTCTCCCTTCCAGGGCAGATGTTCTCTTCATTTCCCTCTGGGCTGACCCCCTCCCACGACTGACTGGAGGGTGGAGGGCGCCTTGGGGTTGGGGAGGTGGGAGGTGGGGGGGATGGAGACCTCCTCCTCTCATGGCTCTGGTTCTAGGTGCCAGCAGCCCCCACCTGCTCCCCCTTCGCCAAAGAGGCCTCAGATGTTCTGCGCGGCCAGGACCCGGGGTCTCTCCCGTATCCCCCTCCCACCCCCTGCCCTCGCCCCTCTGGAGGGAGGGCCGGGGGAGATCCCCGAGGCAGAGGAACGAGAAAGATCCGGGAGGGAAAGGGCTGAAGGAAGGGAGCAGAGCTAAAGCAGCCATGTCAGAACAGAGCCACGGAGATGGGTTAAATGGTCACCTTCCGCGGATTAGCACTTTTCCCACACGCACACTCGCCGCATTGTGAGTGACACTGGATCAAAACCTGCGCACGTTGCGTGTGCCCCAGGCCCGCGGCGGGGCGGAGGGACCCACCGCGAAAGTTGCGGTTGCAAGTTGGCGCCTGGGGCCGGCCAGGCGGGGTGTCCTTACAACCCCGCTCTGGGCTGCAACCTAAGCTTGACGCCCGTGCTGCGTTTGGAGCGGGCACTGTGGCCGCCTGGTCCCCAAGATAGGGCTTGGGGACAACAGAAAGAGCGAGAACGAAGAGGAGGAAGAGGAAGGGGAAGGGGGGCGGAGAGGAAGGCGGGGGGCGCCGCCGCGGGGCCGCAGGCGTCCCCCTCCTCGGGTCGACCCGGTGGCGGCGGGGGGCCGGCGGCGGCTTCGTTGGCGGCCGCTCGGGAGCAACCTTGAGCGCGGGCGCTGCGACAGTGATTTAGGTGCTGGCATTGGAGCGTGAAGGTAAATGGCCACATTTCACCGTCAGAAGGTGAGCCGGCGGCGCCCGCCCCTGCCCTTCCCCCAAGGCCCCGGCGGGGTGCGGGTGGGCGCTGCTGCCCACCCTCCCTGGACCGGGGCCCCAATCCCGGGGCTGCCGGAGGAGGGATCCCGGCAGCCCCAGCCGCTCCCTCCCCACCCCTCCTAGGAGGGGAGGCCGAATGCGCCACCCCCCAAACGCCCGAGGAGAGGGCTGCCGAAGCCTGGCCTCCTCCCCGAGCTGCTGCTACGGGAGGAAAGTTGAGAAGACTTACAGCCCGAGCACTCCGGGGGGGGGGGGGGGGGGGAGGGGGCCCCCCTGCTTCTGCGGGGGAGGGGTGGGTGGGAGGCACCTCCTGGGTGCTGGTTGGTGTGTGGGGAGCTCACATACCCCACCTTAACTCCTCATGGGGCTCCAGAGGCAGGGCCTGCCTTGTGTCCACAGTGCAGATGTGGAAACTGAGGCTCAGAAGGTTAAGGGAGCTGCTGAAGGCCGCGCAGCTGGGAGGGGGTGAGGAGGCTGGGGACACAGGTCCAGGGGACTTTTGAGTCCATGTGGAGCCCTCTCTCCCCCCCCATACATTGCTTTCAAGAGCTCTGGGATCAAGATGAGGGTGCAGGAAATGAGGCCTCCAGCAAACCTTCTGCTGTTTGGGGGTGTGGTTATAAAAATTAACACACAGTCTTGATATTTAAAAAATCCAGAAACGTGGGTAGGTAACTCTTCATCCTGACCACTCTACCCCTTCTTCCTTTGGACCCAAGTTTCCTGCCCCCTCCCCCCCCGCCCCGTGCTGCCCCTTGGGCCTACCAGTTCTGAGTCAAGCACATGTGAGTGCAACGCTGAGATGAGTAATTTAATTCACTTTGTTATTTTGTTGAAAAAAAGAGAGGGAAGAAGAGGACCCAGCTGGGGGTATGTGTGCGTTGCTTGAGCAGGGGCATAACATGGCAGGAGAGCCCCCAGCCCATCGCTTTCTAGACTTGGGGCAGGGCTGTAGAGTGAAAGGGAGAGTGGGGAGGAGGTGGGAGAAGAGTTAAGCCCAGGGCTCAAGGTCTTGGCCACGGAAGGCTTCTTGCATTGACAACCTTCACAGAGGCCTCAAGCCAGTGGAAGGGAAGCAGTTCCCTGGCTTCACCTGGGGCAGCTTTGGTTGTTATTGCTCATAATAGCTGCTCTTTGGGGGCACCTCCTATGTGTTAGGTATACCTTTAATCATGCCAGCAACCCGTGTGAAGTGTGTATTGTTATCCCCATTTTATAGGTGAGAACAGAGACTAGTCCCTTGTTGTAAGACTCCATTGCTGCGAGGTGGTAGAGCTGGGATTGGACCAAAGTTCCATTAACCCTAAAGACTCTTCTCTCTGTAGCCCACTGCCTCTCTACTCCACTGTCTGTGTCTTGGGGGACGGGAGGGGAGCCCACCCAGAGCTCGATGGGAAAGGAATCTGGCATTTACCTCCTGGTCGGGGCAGAGAGTAGTTGGGCGAGGTAGGTGGAGGTCTGAGTTCTCAGGTGCTCTCTGGGGTCCTGGTCGAGGGTTACCCTTAACCCTGGGCAGACAAGACGCAGGGGTGGACAGAAGAATAGGGTCACACTACCGGCTGTGACCTGAGGGGCTATAGGTTCTGGGATCTCAGAAGAAGATGTCCTGGATGGGGCCTGGGGGGAGAGAGGTTCCCGTTCATGGTCCAAAGTACTGCTAGAGGGGCCAAAGAAACCAAGTAGACATCCTATGGGGGTGGAAGGCAGGTGTAGACATCCCAGGGAGTCCATCCTCCCTAGGATGGGGCCTGGGCGGGAGCCAAATTAGCCACAGGACCCAGCTGCACAGCAGGCTGAGGTGGTAGTGAAGTCGGACCCAATCTCAGAAAGTCCTAGTTCCTCAGACCCCAACGACTATGACAACTTCTACTAGCTACCATTTATTGAATATCTACCATGCGTCCCAGACTGGGCTAAGCCTTCCCTTAATCCTGACCACCACTGTTTGCGGTAGGAACTATTATTTACTCATCTGACAAATGAGTAAACAGAGGTCAGACTCCCTTCAAGCTGAGACTCTCCCCGGTCTGCTTCCAACCCCCATGGGGGTGGGCAGGAGGGCACAGCATGTAGAGAGGGGCTTCCAAACCCTTTTAATCTCAGCACAGGGCCTGGCTCCTGGAAGCCCTCAGCAGTCACAGCTCTTACTATTCTTGGCTTTAAATGGGTGAAGGCGTCAGGATGGGGCCATCTTGCCTTTCAGCCCATTATTGCTAGAGTGCTTGGCTCTGAGCGCCTGGGGTCCAACTTCCTACCTGGGGCTTCAGGGTACACCTCTCCCTCCCAACTTCTTCTCAGTCTGCCTTTGTGTCCCCTTCTGGCCCTGGATCTGGGGAGACGCCTGTGGGAGCATGTGGGAGCGTGTAAACATGCCAGAGAGGGAGTGGGTGGTTTGAGAGGGGTAGCTTGTCCTGTGAAGAAGGCCAGGCAGAGGGCAGGGATGCGTGTTCCCTGGAAAGCCCTTCCCAGGACAGGGTCTGATCCTAGGTCCAGGATTTTCCTAGCTCCCACCAGAGCGAGGAGCTTCAGGATCCCCAACCCCACCACATGGGACAGTCAAATGGATGGAGCTGGGCTGTGTCAGGCTAACCTCTTTTCCTTTCATTGGTCTTCACATGGGTGACGAGGCCAGGGTTCTCTTTCTGGGTCCTCAGCTCCCTGCTGTGCCCACTCTGGTTCTTAGAATCTTTGATTTGCCCCATGCCACACTTGCCAGGGATCTGGACCGCAGGCTGGCCCAACCGGGTCTTTTGAGAGAGAAGGAGAGGGAGGCACAGAGAAGGGAGTGACTTGCCCAAGGTCACACAGCGAGTCAGCGGCAGGTGTCCAGATGATGCTAGGGAAGGCAGCCAGATGAGAATCTTGTAGGGCCCCCACTTTGGAGGGGTCCTGAGTATTGAGGGGTGCCCCTCCCTCCTCTTTCCTGGGGTGTTGTCAGCTTGAGCACTGGCCACCCCCTCCCTCTCCCCACATACCGGGCGGAATTGTCTTAACGCGGCAAATTGTTCATATGTGTGTAAGCAAATATCTCCTGAAATTACCTCTTATCACCAAACAGGCTGTGATACTCACCGGCTGGAGGGCTGAGGTTGTCTTTCAATCCTCTGACGCCGGGGAGGGGGCAGGGGAGGGGGACTGGCTGACACCAAAAATAAACCGGCGGAGCGGGGATGGTTGTCGCGAGGGGCAGAGCGAAGTTGTCAGGTGGGGAGAGCGTGCGAGGAGGCAGGACGATAATGTGGCATGACACTTCTGAAATGAGCGGCCCGTTGCCATGGTGAGCAGCCAGGAGGGACCGGCTCTCCCGAGGCTGAAATAAAACACGCTTTAAATGATGTTTGATTAGAATTTAGATCATGTAACCGAATACCTCAGTCCTTCTCTTCCTTGTGCTTTTCTGCTTTTCTTCTCAGTTCTGTCTTTCTTCCCTCCATCCCCTCCCCTCCCCCGCCCCGGGGCAGACAGAGCCACACGCACGCACGCGGGCACACACCCACACGCACGCACAAGCATGCAGTGTGCACACACGTGCGCACACACGCTCCTGCACGCCTTTCTCTTCCCCCCTTCTCCCCGGTTGTTCTACACCTTGGTGGACCTTGTTTCAGAAAATGCAGCTCAGAGCAGATGCCAGGGACCCCCGGGGGTGGGGGTGGGGGTGGGGTCAGAGCGCTGGTCTCAGGGTCACGGGTTGGAGTCTCTGCTCTTCTACTCTAAGGACAATAGTACTAAAAACAATTAGAATGGCCGAAGCTTCTTGTCCGTGCAGCCCTTCATCCTCCACAAAGCTCTTCCAAATGCAAGTGCACATGTTATTCTCATCATAGCGCTTTGCCTAGTTGCGATCATGCCCATTTTCTAGATGAGGAAGCCGAGGCTCGAAGAGGCCCAGTGTCTTGTCCAAGGTCACACAGCTAGCGGGAGGTGAGCCCAGCGCTTCTGTAGGCTGCCCTTTGGGCTCTGAGGAGAAACCCCTATAGGAAGAAGGGAGCACAGCCGGCTCTCTGTCCTCTGGGCCCTTAAACCTTTGCTTGTCCGATGCATTTTCTATTGGTTCTGACCTGTGCGAACCCTCGGAAGGATGGGCGGAGGGGCCCCGACCTGCTTCCAGAGGAATTTGGGACGGGTTTTGTGATTTTCTGGCCACGGACCCCACTTTTTTGTTTGGCAACAGATTGGTATTATATTTGTAGTGGTTCTTCCAGAGCATGCTGCCCACCAGGGGCAGACAGCCAGTGCTGCGGCTTGAGGGCCCGGCTGCCGATCACCTAGAGTGGGTCGTGGAGGGCAGGCTGGCACGTAGAGACAGGGCAGGCAGGGATGCCCCTCAGAATCCCTATTATCTCGCACCCTGGGCCTCCTCTGAGGCCCTGGACAGGTTATCAGCTTCCTATTTCTGGTTCAAAGAGATATGGCTTGACCCAGTGTCCATTTTCCCTAGCAGATCAACGTGTCCAGATTGTCTCCCATTATCAGCCAGTCCATCCATCCATTCAGTCCCATAGTCATCACGGACCTGGTCAGCACCAGCGGTGGGCCAGGACTCTTAGCCCAGGGGCAGGCCTGGTCTCCACCCTCACAAATGTGGGGCTTTGTGGGCCAGGGGCCAGGTAGCTGGAGACAGACATGCACACACGCACGCACGCACACACAAACACACTCACACACACACAGTCTCCTTCGGTGCAGAGTGTGAAGTTGTCTGATAGAGGAGGGAGCAAAGTGCTCCAGAAGTATCAAGGATGGAGGACTACTAGTGTCTGCAGGGGATCAAGGAAGACTTCTCAGAGGAGGTAATGTTTGAAGGAAGAGTGGGAGTTCTCCAAAGGGTCGGACAGGAAGGGGCAGCCCAGGAGAAGAGATCTCGTTGTGCAGAGATCCACCCTTCCCCAGCAGGGTGGAAAGTCCCTGGATGGATTGTGTCTCTTCCATAACAC